TAAGTAAAATTCAAGTTCCACACAGCTCTACCACCTCTCATCTCTAATAAATCAGCCACCTTAGCATTCTAATTTTCCATGTTCTCAAAAATTTCAGGATAGTAGAGTTTTAAAAGCCCACCACCTAGCCATATATGATGCCAAACAAAAATATGGGTGCCATCACCCACACCCCAACGAATATTAGAAACTATCAAAGGTTTACATAAGAAAATAGATCTCCAAAAAATTGATCTACTAGAGCTGCCTCTACCACCACCAATCCACAAACTATGTCTATCCAACCCATAATTTACGACAAGAACTTGACACCAAAGTTGATCTCAAAACTGATTACTACGCCACCACCAAAGATACAATTGGTTTTAGATGGACTACCTATTTACATCTATCTTTACGATGGGTGCTTTATACCTCCAAATCGTACATTGTAAAAATGAGGTCCAGCCCCGCATGAAAGAATTTTCCTTTGGATCATGAACTATTTATTAAATTTTGAATAATTATATAAAAAAATATATCTCTCTTTTTCTTTAAATTAAAGAAATATTTAAATTGCTTTAACTATATACTTATACCCATTTTGTCATGGTGTATTTTTTAACCCGAAATGCCCTTCACAGACTTGGTAGGGTAGTGAGGAGTGATATGCCGGTCTTTTGAGCCCCACAGTCTTAAAAGCACACGGTCAATCATCACAATCCAATGACCTTATTGGTAGAACATCACATTGCTAATAGGGTCCTGGTGGGCCTTCATGGAGTCACAGGGTTAAGTGGGAAAGAAAGGACCGTGATAGTGCCTTTAGCACCGTATGACCGGCCTTGGACCATCACGGACTTAACATAGGTCAATGATGACCGAAGCCCAATTTGAATAAAATTTTTTTTGTGAGGACATAGTTTATAAAAAATTTGGTTATATTTTTTCTTTTTTGTTTTTTGAAAAAGGAGATATTATTTTTATAAGGACGCAATTTTTATAAGTCGGCTGATTCATATGTAAGACTATCATTAATTTTTTAGATGAATTTTTAATCTAATTAATAGTAATATTTAATATCTAGCTTGGGGATCACTAATATAAAAAAATAAATTTTGAAAACGAAAATGATATTCTTTGGACGAATAATTTAGACCATCGGCTTTATATTTTTGTGGAACTATCATCTTTTTGTTTTTCAGGATTAGCTATAAAAGTTGTATAGAATAATCAGTGTGTATGGAAAAGATAAGTGCAGTGCCATGTATTTTATGGTGAGTCTGAATATAATTTAGTTGTCAGTGATTTATTTTCATTCTTGTCATCAGATGTTTATACATAGAAAACAAGCATGCATATTAATATATATTAATAGACACAGAGAGTCTCCTTGGATAAACAATGAGACTCTAACATAATATCAAAGCCAGAAATCATCTTTGCACTGTTTTGTTCTTGTGTGATTGCGTATGTCGTTCTGATCTTGCTTAATCCTATCTACTTTTATCTTCGAGCAACCCATTCTATTGTTCCTGAGGGTCGTTTATCAGTCTCAGATGATCATTTTGTTGAAATCTTAGAGTTACGATTTTCTTCGGTTTTCGTTATGCTTTGATTCCGGGTGAATCTCATGCCTTTTGTCGGTGATTGCCAATGAGTTTCTCTATTTTTCGGACTGTTTCCCTTGCTAATTTGGCTGGAATTTGCATTATGAACTGTCACAGCACCGATAATTTGGCCAAGAATCTCCCCGGTGACAATAAGTCGAGTGCCTTGTTATACAGGAATGCCCCGTCAATATGAGGAGGTTACAAATCTTTTCAGCACGATATTGATGCTTTCTCCCAGCTCCTCTCCAAGCTCCCCCAAAGCCTAAAGTTTTCAATACCCCGCTAACACCACCCTACTAATAATACTTTCAACAAGCTAACTCCTAATCTACTTGGAAAAAATGGATAGAGCTGTCTTTCCCATTGAATTATCAAACAAACAAATTGAATTATCAAAAAAACAAAAAAAAAAATCAACATCCAAAAGTAAATTTGAGATTCAGCAGGGATCGATGGTCCTTTAGAGCCCTCGCCATCTTCAACAGCTGCAAAATCAATGGCGTTCTCGATTGGCTCTACAGAAGATTTGTGCCAAATCCAGCAAAGCCCCTATGACTGCTTCTACCAGTCATGCTATACATCTCAACACAGAGTCTCTTCAAATAAACCTTAGACCTTTTTACACTTTTACATCCATCCTCATCTGTTTTACATCGATCATCGGGATGGATGTTTGATGGGGATGCCAATGTAGAAAATGCATCCTTTTGATAATATTACCCTAAAGATTTCGAGTAAATGTTCACTTCTCTACCATCTCTCTCACAAATATTTGCTCTTTAATCAAATATTTGGGTCACTCTCAATAAATCGTAATTGAATTCTGGATGTCCAACCAAATTCTAGTTTCACAAAAGGTGCTCCACTTTCATCGCATCACAAGATTCTCTATTTTTTATTTTCTAGATGATTAAAGAGATTCAAAAAGTAGAAGCTTTAACTTTATATATTAGTAATCAAGGGCAAGAATCAATGAAAACCAGAATCAGAAATCAAATAGATCCAAGAGCCCCCATAATCAAAAACATAAAGAGCTCCAAATAATAACCCAAAAACATAAGAAAAACCGAAGTAATATACTAACAATAACAGTGTTGTCAACAAGGCCATAGCCCGTCTTATTACATATATTGATAAATAAAGACTTGAAAAGACTAACAAAACAAACATATATTGATAAATAGAGACTCGAAGAGACTTTCAAAACAAACACCCAAGTTGACAACTTGAAGGGAAACCTCAAGGCAAACTTCCTAAACAACAGCTTTACAGCAACCATAGGTACTGCTGCTGCTAATCCTCCCCCATGAAAGAAAGAGAGAGAGAGAGTAACCATAGAGATTCAACCAAGGGAGCTGTTACTGGTTACTATATACCTCCATGAGAGACAGTGGTACCATTTAGCATCAAATATGGGTATTCTTTCTGGTTTTCATCCCCCCCACATGAAAGAGAGAGAGAAACAAAGACTGATGGAACCATTAGCAGCAGCCATATACTGTTATTTGATTCTATCCTTCCATAAAAATATGAGAGAGAAGGAGAGAGAGCACAGAGAAACAAGGAGGGTGAGTACCATTTAGCAGCACCCATGGGTACTCCTATTTGTTTCTATCCTTAACCGTAGGGTACACCTTCAGCTGCAGGGTCTTCATGTACTGAACTGCCTCTTCAAGAACACCATTTGTATCCCTATCACTCCCTCCAGGAACCAATCCTCTCAGTGTCATTAACATCTTCTTAATCCTGATCTTCCTGGATTTACTCTCGCTATCACTAAATCCATGGCTTCCTTCCGTTCTCCTCTTCTTCCTTGGCCCACAACTATCCACCACTTCTTCATTTTTTCCCAAATTTTCAATAGGCCAATGACCAGTACTCAGTTCCTGTTCTTCTTCGTCATTTCCCAAATTTTTTACTAGCGAATGACCAGTAGTCACTTCATTTTCATCTTCTTCATCATCAGAAGTCACTTCATCTTCATCGTCGGAGCTTAGAAGGGTATCAATATCTTCCCTCTCTTGATCTTCTCTCTCTTGATCTTGTCTCTCTTCAAGCAACTTGTTATTCCAAACATTACAAGAACCCTCCTCGGGAGGGGAGTATATTGGGTTCATCATATCCATTAGAGTGGCCCCTCTTTCTCTTTCACGCCGGATCCTCTCAAGTGATGCAAGGGCAACAGCTAAGATCCCTTCATTCAAACCCAATTGTGAACCATCAAATATTTCTTCTTTTCCAAATCTGTTTTCCATATTAAGATTTGGAGTCAAGCCTACAATCCTAATTGTTCCCTCTCTCGATTGATCAAACACAATCAGCCTCTTCTCAGGCTTGTTTACAGATGTAATGCCCTTGCAAGGAGGACAGGATGCTCGTTCACCAATGGATGCGTTAATTGTTGGCACCATGCGGCTTTCATTCCTTAGAGATAGAGTGGGAATACTTGGTTCCAATTTTGAGCTTTCTGGGGTTGCAGATCCCAGTTGCAGGCTCGATTCAGAGTACGTAATATGGCTCGATTCAGAGTACGAAACATTAGTTTTATTAGCCATTCTTCAAAGATGAGATATCACACTTGTCCTGAAAATGTAAATTCAATTACAGAGAGAGAGAGAGAGAAGGCGCATTTGCTTAGCAGAAAAGAAATTTTTCATTGGAAATTCCCGAAGCAACTAAGAAAGCACTTCCAAGCCTGCCCCAGCACCCCATGTATTTTTGTGAGAAAGTGACTGTGAAAACAGTTACCCAGACTGGTGGAAAGCTCTCTTGGTGAAAAACGTTTCCCAGGGCCCCGGAAAGTGCTTTGACACAAAGAAAAGCACTGTTCATGAGATAAAGCAAACTTAGAGAGACATACCAGATAATGCAGAATCCCAATTTTGCTGATAAAACAAGAGATATATGTACAGGAATTTGCTTGCGGTTTGTGTGAATCAGAACCACCAGCATTGGTCAATCTGTTCTGACATTTTGGAGTTACGAGAGAGTGCATGCGAATGGATCTTGCTTTGATTCTTCTTCAGAGCCAGACAGAAGGGAGAGATTATGACAAAGGGTTTTCTACGTAACAGGCTTGAGCAACTGGCGGAAATACTCAGCCTACAAATCAAACAGTGAAGTATTAGCGAATGAAGAACAAATGGAAGTGAGACTCAACTGCAGTTTCAATCCACGTTATGGACCCATTACATTATGTGAATTTCCCAAAGCTGTAGATCCAAGATTTGGGTCCTTCATAAAATGGAGCTTAACATTCCATACACATAAAAATTGGAACGCATAGTAAAATATGAAATGCTAATGCCATTTGAAGGCCAGAGTTTTAGAGAAGATGAAATGAGGGTGAGATAAAAATTTGAAGGCATAGAATGTAGATGGAAAGGGGTAACTGCTTCTATCTATAACAGAAAAACTCTTTAACAGAATCATGGATAATTACATCAACAAATCCATCAAAAAGAAACAAGGCAAATCTCACAAGAACATAAAGCTAATTTCACTCAGCAATAAGACATGTGTAGCACAGGCAGCTTTAACGCATTTTGAATTTTTTAAGCAAGTAGTGTATCACACGAAGTACTGATATAAAAATCATTTGACAAAGTTCTCAAAACCTATGCAAAAGTAAAGGCAAACAACCAATAGCTGCACAATATTATTTGAACATAGAGAAGGGTCTTGTCAAAGTTCCATACATGCAGTTCAGAGATGCTACATTTTGTAACCATGTATCGTGATATTCCAAGTGCAAAATTGACAAGAAAGATGTCAAGCTACCTACTATGCGAAATAATATTTTGAGTGCCATTTATAATATCATAACTCCATGTCTCTGCATTCATAAGGTACAACAATACCAACTGGCTATGCAATGACAAGATTTCAATTTAAGTTACAACTTTTCATGGGCTTCCTCAAATGAATGGAGATTTCAATAAAAAATCGAACAACAAAAATTAAAAAGAAATGAACAGATGGGACATCATATGCCTCAAGCAAAGGAATACAATTCAAAGATTGAAGCATACACTGAGTAAGCCTCAAGTTTGATACTACACGATCAAGCACGCCTTTACTCCTAGACAAGACTTATGAATTTCACTCCAACACATACATTTTTCTATCATTCAATTCATATATAGGATATGCAATCTCATGGTGAATAATCAGATATGTAAGCATGACATACGGGTGGCCATTAAACGTATCAATCTTCGATCTGGGTTAATGAAAATGTCAAAGCAAGTTCTAAATCAGTAGAATGGTGCTATATTGTGGGTTGTGGGCAGCTCATATTGTCACATTTTAAACAATTCACCTTTCAATTATTTACTAATGGTATTTATCACTGTGCAATCCACATAACTTTGGAAAGAATTAGCGTTCTAAAACAAGTTCTAAAACTAGAGCGACTCTAAGTAGGAAGCGGCCGCTTGGGCAAGTCTGAGCAGGAACCGACCAAACTCAGCCAGTGTCTAAATTTTATTAATTATAATTTTGTACACACTCGCCCGAGGCTGTATAAGCCACTTGGACTCGGAAGCCCGCCAGTTCCAAGTCCAAGCCTTGTTTTTTAATCAAGGTAGAACAAGAAAGTAATCTCCCTGATTCCCTATCATTTGAATTAATCAACGTAGAACGAGAGAGAGAGAAGCTCCATTCCCAAATGAATTCCTAATGAGAAAAAGTAAACCAAGAAAGAAGCCCAAACAGAATCCATAACAGTGCAGTAAAAAGGTATATAAATTAAAGGTTCTAACACAAGCAAAAGCTGTTAAAAAGATAATGTCACAATAGAACTCGAATTAGCAATGGGAAGTCAAACCATAAAAGGAACACCGGAGGAGTGCAGGTCTCAAATCAGGTTAGTCGTGAGAGCATAATTGACTAAACTCAAAGTTAAAAAACAAATCTCAAACTTCATGGCACCAGACAAGAATTAGACGTCTAATGACTAGGAGTAATTACAACCTCCTTGTTACAAAGATAAATGATATCCTAGTACACAATTTCTTACATTATTTGCTTCAATATTAAAATGGCGGACATCATGATAATTTGAGGGGCATTTATGCTCTCTCTCTCTAACATTTACGAAATTTATGCTCTCTCTCTCTCTCATTGAGGGGCACTTATGCATACATTTCTCTCCCATATGAAAGCGCGCGTACACAAATAAATGCATATGCTTTATCAAAAGGGAATAGAGCTGAGGCTCTAAGCAATCAAATTGGGGCCTACCACAAAAATTTCACTAGAAGAGGTTGTTTTGATGCCCAAATATCCTCAAATTGATCATCTCAACATCAAGATGGATGGACGTCAGAAAAAAAAAATAGATTTCAAAATTTGAAAATAGTGTATTTTGTAATGCATGTTTGGACCATCAATTTTTAAGATTTTCAAGTTTTTATACATATGTCGGTCTACACAATTTTTTAAGCTTTAAACTTTATAAATAAAGATGCAATTATAAATAAAGATGCAATTATATTTTAAAGCTATGACAAAGATTTTCAGTATTGAAACCACATTTCTCCAATACTATTTGAAGTTAGGCTCTAATTTGATTGTTTAGAGCCTTGGCTCTATACAAACCGCACCCTCTTTATCAAATGCACACAGACAAATGCATGTGTTTTATCACATGCTCCTGGTATGGGACGCTTGTGCATTCCCACGTGCACACAACATTCATGAATCTGCTTTTGCGCGTGCTCCCCACTGCCTAGTCCGCACGTGTATATCATGCATGATTACATCATCATACATCTCATGCATGTGAGAGATATGCATGACCATGATGCATGTATTGTGAGGGCAAACCATAAAAAAAAACTTGCATGTGTGGGCCGGGGGCAGTCGGCGGGCCCTAAAAAAGTAGACGTAGCCAGAGTTAGGGCCCGGTTAGAGACAGTGCCAGTGTCAGCCCAGTTTGGCCCGCCCAGCCCTTTTTTTTTCTTTTTTTTCTTCATTTGTTTTTGGGCCTGGTCCTAAGGACAGATCCGGGCCTGGTCCTAAGGACAGATCCGAGACTGGGTCTTTTTTCTTCATTTGTTTTTGGGCCTAGTCCTAAGGACAGATCCGAGACTGGGCCAGACCCAGGGCTGGGCCCACAGCCACCCTTAAAAAAAATATGACGAAATGACAATGTTATCCCCAGAAAATATCAAGCAATTTTTTAGTGGGAGGTTGAAGTTGCACCCCTCTACTCTCATTCCTTATTGAGTACCCATGTTTTGGGTGGGAAACCAAAAACACACATTATATAGCGTTTACCTTAAATTAGACCCCTTTCAATAATAATAATTTTTTCTCCATATTTCTCCGTAAATAAGGAACACAAACTCAATCGATCAAAAAATATTCTTTGTGATGATTCAGAAAAAATTACTACCCCAATTAATGGGGTCAGAGAAAGAGGAGAGAGAGATAGAATTCCTTAGAACTTGAAAAGCAGAGGGAGATTCCAAATTCAGAAGCTTGAACGAGAAAGAGAGGAGCAAATAGGGTTTTGATTAGACAGACCTGGCAGCCTTGGAGAGGTTGAAAGCAAGCTATAACCCTAACTACGATGGTAGCGCGCCCATTCTCTTCATAGTGTTTCAATGCCCTGAATCTCGCCTTTCCAGCCGCTTGGCACACCATAACTCTCTCTCTCTCTGCTGTAAAAACCTTATGATCGCCCGAAACCCTAAAACCCCCACAGTAAATTCTACTATAAATTACTCAGAAACAAAAACCCTAAAATGATGGTACAAATCTGCAATCCGTCAGATCCGATCACTCGATTCAACCAAAAACCCACTTTCCTGAAACCCAAGAGCCGATTACAAAAACCCGAAAGCTCTGAATAAGGATTGAAAGAGAAAACAAAGAATATAGGGATCAGGTTTAGGCTTTATTCGCAAACTCGTGGGATCTCTAAAGAATAACCCTGCAAATATTGACATTAAGGGAAACCCCCTCTCTGTAAACATCAACAGACAACCTAAACCACCGCATCTTCTTCCTCCCTATCTCTCTACCACATCCTCTCTCTCTCAAAAACACTCTCTCTCTCTAAAGAAATGCAAACAAGGGGGAAACTGTAACGAGAAGAAGACTTATTATTCTTCTTCTTCCTCTCAACTTTCTCTCTCTAAAAATCTAGAAGTAACAGTGAAGGAGTAGAGACAGAGAGAGATAAATGGCGAGAGGTAAACCCTAGAAATAGATTTGTTACAGTGGAGCATTCGTACGACTACGGTGACTCGTCAATGCTCTGTTGACCAGAGAGCATCGTTAACATATTGACACGGGTTCCAACCCTTGGGTTAAATTCTAACCCAAGGTTAGCGTTGCCCAGCATTTGGAGACCTTTAGTCCCTATATTTTAGGTAAATGACATTGGAGGTCCTCAAGCTTTTGGGAAATTACTTTTGAATCGCGCACCACGCTTTGCGAGAAAGCAAACAGTAACCTCTCACTTTCGAAGTGGAACCATAATTGCTGATAAAGCACAAAGATCTCTTTCTCAGTGGAATCATAATTACTAATCTCTCTCTCTCTACAAACTCCCACTCTCATTTTGTAAGTGGAAAACACAATTTTAAGGCAATTACGCTTTCTGATTTCCATAAATATGGGTGCCGTTTGTGTAGAGCCGGGGCTCTAAACAATCAAACTAAAACCCACCTTCAAATGGTATTGAGAAATATGGTTTTAATATTGAAAATCTTTATAATAGCCATTAAATATGTTTTATCTTTAATTATAAAATTTAAAGCTTAAGAAATAGTGTAGATCGAACAGATCTATGAAAAACTTGATAATCTCCAAAATTGACCGTCCAAAAATGCATCACAAGATGCACTATTTCAAAAACTTGAAATCCATATATTCTTTTTCATGTTAATGCATATTGATGTCGAGATGTTCAATTTATGGATATTTGGACATTAAAATAACCTCTTCCAATGAAAATTGTGAAGTGGGGTCTAATTTGATTGTTAAAGCCTCGGCTCTATTTGAAACTTTTTCCTTCCATTAAGTCAAACCAGCATTTTAGGATATTTCCCCTCAAAAACTAGGGCTGACAAATGGCTCAGGCATTATAAAAGTAGGGCCTAGGCTCGAGGGAAGGCTAGGCCTCATGCCTAAAGCAAGTGCTAGTCCGGTTCAATCCGATCGACTTTTTTTTTTTTTTTCTTGTTATTTTTTCTGCGTACATGTTTAGCACAGTTCTAACAAGGCAAGGGTAAGCCTATACGGACAAGGGTCAAAACAAGTCTGGCCAGTTGCCACCTTGATCAAAATCTAATCAAAGTTATTCCCAATCTTTTAGATCTAAGGATAAATAAGTCAGATTTTGTTAAAATAACACACTCTCACCCTCATAACCTATCTAAACTCCAGGATAACATGAGTCAATTTTTCTTAAAACAATGCCTTCTTTATGCATGTAGTCCTGTAGCTTAAGCAACCTATTGTTTTTTAAACATCCTTGATTAATTCTTTAATGTGAAAGGAACCCATTTCATTTTATAGTTTAGTCATTCTAGTCAGCCTCATAGTAAAGTACACCTTAAAAATTATTAGAGAAGGTCTCTTTTTATGTTGGAAAACTTTCAAATCGATCGTTTTGACTTTGTGATTCATAGATATAAAGAAAAAAAAGGTATTTCTAGTCCTAAAACTAGTTCATCTGTTAACACGTTATCAAGATAATCCATTTTCAAGATCTTCAAGTATTTATAGATCAATTTGATTGTCACCACTATTGAAACTTTAAATTTCAAAATTCAAACAATAATAGATTTTCATAACATTGCAAGGTTTTGTGCGTTTTCAGTATAATTTTGTGATGCACCTTACTTCAATAATATAAAGTTGACACCTTACACAAACCTTACCCCCTTGAATAATGATGAGTGAGAAAGTAGAGAGAGAAACCATGGAAAAATACATGGTTTGGCTTCACACTTTCTCCGACGGCAAATGGACCAAGCACGGTTCACGTGCCACCTCTACCGCTCCTTTTTATCTTCTCATGCACCTTTTTATTATGGGTGCGGTTTGTGTAGAGCCGAGGCTCTAAACAATCAAATTAGAGCCCATCTAAACAATCAAATTAGAGCCAATCTTTAAATAGTGTCGAGAAAATTGGTTTCAATACTGAAAATCTTTGTAACAGTTTTAAAATATATTATTAACTTTAATTATAAAATTTAAAGCTTCAAAAATAGTGTAGGTTGGGCATATCTAAGAAACTTTAAAAATTGACGATTAAAAAATGCGTTACTAGATGTAGTATTTTCAAAAATTGAAGTCTATTTTTTCTCATTTCCATGTATCTTGATGTCAAGATGATTAATTTGAGCATAATTGTACATAAAAACAACCAATTCTAATGAAAATTTTAAGATAGGCTCTAATTTGATTGTTTAGAGCCTCGGCTCTATATAAACCTTCCCCTTTTATTATACGATGCCGTGTACGTGTGTACATTAGTTAGGGAAAATAATGTTTTATAAGCACTACATTCTCTGCAAAGGACAATTATTAAAGAGTAATTTATAAGTAATCGGATCTCTCTTTTCCCACCTTTCACATATACATCGTCTTCCATATGTGATTAGTTTAAGAAAAGCGTGGGATGCATGGAGCACTAAACCACTAAATTAATCCTCTTCTATTATCAAGCATTTTAGGATGTAAAATGCATGATTAATCTAGAGTTTTTCTAGGACCCCAAATTTTGGAGATGTGACCTAGACCAATTGTCAAGAAAAAACTTTATGCATATGCTTTGAAATGTAATATGATAAAATTCGAATTTTTTTTGCAGTTTGATTCAAGTGTTTAGAAACTCAAAATGTACTGGTTATTAAAAATACGAATATGGTGATTATGAAGTGGTCACAAAGTTCCATAAGATATTTTAAAGCAATTTTTGGGTAGGAGAGTAAATATTCAATTTATTCGCATGGGAGTACACTAATAGACATGCTCCTTCTCTAACATTTTTTTTTATTACAAAGCTAAAAAAAGTTCTTTTTTATAAAAAGAAAAAACAAGTTGAAAGGGCAAGAAATAACTAAGACACACTATCAGCCACCAAGAGAACCGGTTTGAAACACCCTCCTTAGCTAGAGAGTAAGCAGTCTTATTAGCCTCTTTATGCACATGTCCGAAAGTGATCTTCATAGAATGAGTAAAGTCCAAAGTGCACAGCTAGGTTGATCTCAATCTCCATAAGATATATTCCTTATTGCACCATTTAACAACATTTGGAAAATCCCTTTTGACAATAATTGGAGCACCAACAAACCGTTCTGAAAGAAACTGGATACCCTGCAATAGAGAACAAAACTATGCTTAGTTCATAGAGGAAATGCCACAAGGTCCAGAATAAAAGAGCACCAATGCAACCTTTGAATTACGCACCACACCTCCCAACCCCAACGGATCACTCAAAAGAACTCTCATCAAAATTTAGCTTAAGACAAACCAATAGTGGCGAGACCTAAAACACCTTAGCTCTAGGCTTATGGACATTCATCTTATATACATTATCCAGATTCACACATGAAATCAACCTTGGTAAGACCCCAATGCTCTTTAGTTATCAACATCCAACTCCACAAAGAACCTATAATCTTATCCTTCATTCTATCCTCACTCAATCACAACACCTCAAGACCTCACCACACTTCCCTTAGCACCACAGCCCTAAAACTTGTCCAAACCATTTTCCAACTTTTGTCAGGCCAGGGATATTTCATATGATCCAAAATATCCCTAGAAATCTTAGTATGGACAAATAAGTACCCATCTTCGAACGACACACCGGTCCATATATTAAATACTAAAGGATAATAAAGAAATAAATGATCATTAATTTTCTCATCATTTTTGCACATCATGCATATATTAATAAAATACTTAGGTGTTACTCAAAGCTAATTTGGGAAGTTTGCAAGTCATTATGATGGCTTGTAGCTTATAGACGAATGACAAAAGAGGCAAATGCTACCTCTCCATTGTCATAACTAGCATATATAGATAAGTAACAGATGGATTTAGATATAAATATAAGATGTAGTGCACCAGGTGTGACCTTGAAATGACACCAATTTCCAATAAGAGAAAAGATTAATGGATTCTAAGATTGGACTAATCATTATTAATCAAACTTATTTCTTTGTATTTCATTGTGGTTGTGATCAACTAAATTGTCAATTTTAAAAAAATCAAGGGTGATTAGGCAATGGATGTGGGTAATAAATTTGAAAATTAACTAGGGCTAGATTAAAAACAAAAAATTGATTTGTGTCGACAAAAAATACACATAAATTTCTATTTTGGAAGAAACAATTGCTTCGTTTTAGAGGCTTCATAACCCAAAGTTAGTGAAGGAATTAATTCCCGCGTGCCAAAGTTCTATCCCTTTCTACAGTTGGCATATAACCTAATATATATCCTAACTAATAAGATTTTTCGTCTTTAAAGACGAGTCAATTTTGAGCTTGCGGATGTACCATGTACCCTAAATGATAGGCACTTTTTTTTTTTTTGGTAATTGAATGGGAAAAACATCCTTTACCCATTTTTTCAAATAGTTTAAGAGTTCTTTTTTTAAAAAAAAAAATTTATTTTTAAAATGTTAATGAGGTAGTCAGTGAGAATAGAAACCATACATTGTGTCTAAAGGTGTGGGCCCGTACCCCTTTCCCTACACTGGATGATAGGCTGAAAACGAAACTTACCATTAGAACGAAATTTTAGAGACAATTGCCTATGTTGAACTAGTCGGTTACAACTTGAAAAGATTCGTAACCCAAAATTGGGATATATTATTTTTCGCGTTCCAAATTTTTTGTCCCTTGCTAAATTTGGCTATACCACTTAATATATAATGCGAAAAACAAGTTCCTTTTTTGAAACGAGTGAATATATCATTAGAAAAGCATCTTCTTTTTTGGAAAAGTTTATATACAGTCGAGGCTCTAAATAATCAAATTTGAGCCTACCTCAAAATTTTTACTAGAAGAAGTTGTTTTGATGCCCAAGTATCCTCAAATTAATTATCTCGACATCAAAATACATGGATAGACATAAAACAAATGGATTTCAAGTTTTGAAAATAGTGTATTTTGTAACACATTTTTTGACCGTTAATTTTCAAGTTTTTCAAGTTTTCATAGATCTAACTATCTGTACTATTTTTTAAGCTTTAAACTTTATAAATAAAGATGAAAATATATTT